ACACACCTCATTACTCTCCTGTAGCGTCGAGGAGAAGCTGATTCCGAGAATCGAATTCTTCGAGAACCTAGGGTTTTCCCGCCGGGACGCCGTGATAATGTTCCGGCGATTCCCGCAGCTGTTCTGCTACAGCATCAAGGAGAATCTGGAGCCGAAACTGAATTACTTCGTGGTGGAAATGGGGAGGGAACTGAAGGAATTGAAGGAGTTTCCGCATTACTTTTCGTTTAGCTTAGAGCATAGGATTAAGCCGAGACATCAAAGCTGTGTGGAGAAGGGAGTATGTTTCCCATTGCCGGATTTGTTGAAAACCAGTGAGATGAAATTCCGGGAAAAATTGGAGGTATGTTGTGATTCTTCAATACCCTTACGAACTTCTCCTTTGTGGTGTACAAAATTGTGATATTCAATCAAGTATAGAGTTCATTTTCAGATCCCCTGTTTCTCTCTGCTGTTTCTGGGCTCAAATCAAATTCAATTTTGCTCTTATGATCCATTTTCTCCATCGGTTTGAACAGGCCTAAGGAACTTCCTCACTTATCTTATTGTTTTTTTCTCGAGTTTTACATTAAAATTCATGTAGGGGTTCTTACAGTTAAAATGTAGCACAATTTTTGCCTGATGCCTCATGGATTTATGTTCTAAAACCATGTAGTGTAAGATTTAGGACCAAAATAGATCTTCTAAAAATACAAGGAATGTAGATAGAATAAGTACAACATAAGATATCTTTTTCCCCTTAATATGATGGTTTTCGATTTTCCATTCTTGAGTTATTTTAATAGGAATTGATGCCTATTTGAAAAGGATTTTGTTTCTAACTTTTTGTTTTAAAAGATTGAGCTTGTTTACTAGTGAACACTTTTTTTTTTTTTTAAATGTTCTTTGAATTAGTTTCACGAAGTTTTCTATAATAAAAAATAAAAAATAAACTTTGGTGTATGAATTATTTGGTATCCGTGAAGCTTATTTGGTTAACAATGTTTAGTTAGAATTCCAAAATTAATTTTTCGATTAGCATTTAAGGCTTAATAGCAATTTCTATCATCTTTGTAAGGGCTAAGGCTATAAATATAACTAATATAAGTAGCCATTGAAGTGGTAATAGGAGACTTTTTTTTTAAGTTCAACAACACTAGGTTGAGTTGAGGTGAGAGTTTGAACTTTCTGATTTTTTGGTCGATAATATATACTTTAATTAATACATATCTTAGGTAGGCGGTAGGTGAGGTCGTTTTAGATCTTCTATTAATGAAATTATTAAGATTTTCGAGAGTTTTATCTTATTCTTAGGATGAATCTCCTGCCTACTATGGACTCGTTTCCATCGTATCGAAACCCGAAGCATCACCTAGTAATATTTTTTTTTTGTTAGATGATGTGTGTTAGTGACTAAACTGAATGTGAATCCCCTTTGACTTGTATAAAACAGAGTTGAGAATTGAGATGAGAAGCTTGCAAGATTTGGTTTGATGCTTTCAAGTTTCGACTGTAAACGGATTTAAAGAATTGTAGGCCACAATCATTCTGGCTCTGGCCCCTGGGAGGACATTTCTTTGCAAAACCAAGTGTTCTGTACCATAAATTATGGCTCCTTACTCGCATTCTTCATTCTTGTTTTTTGTCTTCTATTTCTTATAATAAAATATGCATGAAAAATATTTTTCTTTTTCTTTGTAAGAAAATTTTAATGTTTAAATACTATTTTAATCCCTGTATTTTAGATTTTGATATATTTTTAAAACGTCCATTTCTATCTCTATATTTTCAAATTTTGTTTATTTTTTTTCAAAATGCTTGTTTTGATCCTCAAACTTTGAGGAAAGGACTATTTTTGTCTCTTCATTTTAGTTTTTATCTCGTTTCTTTAGATTACAATTTTAGCATTACGGCTATCAAATTTGTGTTGAAATTTGGATCAAAATGGTTACTTTTGGATCAAAATATTTATTTCATGCATATTTGAAATATGACATGTACGAAAGTCTTCTAGAAGCTAGTTTAAATAAATTTGCTGCTTACTTTTGGAAACAAACAAAATTAACCTATAGCACAGTAAAATTTCATTCTCACAATCTACAGCACGGACAAAAATATTGCATTTTGACACCAAAATTTCCTCTGTTTACAGACCTTTTAACTTAATAAACTGATTTACAAATGCCCCTAAATAGTTGGTATCAATTTGCAAAGTTTGTTGGAAATGAGTAAAAATGACTCATACGTCACACTTACAAGACCCGCCATTAATACCACCGCACTTACAAGACATTTGTTGTTGACCACCATTAAATGTCTGACAATTTTTTCTAATTCTCTACTTTTTATATTTTTTTTCTCTTAATTGTCAAACATTCCATGATGGTTAGCACAATATACATTATGTATCGGTAACAATACATTGTTGCCAATAAATGCAAATGTCTAAAAATCGTCAAAAATATATTTACTGTTGACTTGTCAATGCACTACAATCTTTTTTTAGATGGAAAGTAAAAGAAAGAAACTATACAAAGATTCAGACATTAAAATAACAAACCACGAGGGGAAACGATATCAACTCCATATGTCTTGAAATTTCCAAGAAAGAGCACACACGGGTAATTTAGACATAGTTCAATTGGTTAACGTATATATCTTCAACTAAAAGGTCAAATGCTCAAATCCCCACTCAAGCACTCACATCCAATTCATGTACTATCTAACTCTTCTCTCTGTTAATACGAGTGAAATCTTCCACCTTTCAAGAGCTAAATTAAATGTCTTCGAGATAAAACCATTTACATCTCCTACTTAAAGAAACTACCAATATCGTTGAGCTAGGTTCGTGTTAGCTTTATTTGTTATGGTCAACTTTAGAGCGAAAGAAGGTGAAGGGAGGGTGGAAGGTAGGTGAAAGTAATATAGGGTCATTATGAAATATAGACAGTTTGAAAGGGCCAAATTGCAAATAGTTATAAATAAATTTTGTTCCGCCACGCTTCCCTCCACATCCATCTAAACAAATTTCCCTCCTCCCATCCCATCTGATTCTGATGCCATTCCTTTGATTCCAGAACCCTATTCTTCTTCCTCACCTTCTCAACTTTCATGCCCTTTCCATCTTCCATTACTACCACATAAATTTCTTCAATCCACTGTTATTGAAGTTTTCTTGCCGTCTGGATCCTCCATGCGCGGCGGCTCTCGAGCTCCGCACCGGTCGGAGCCACTGCCACAGTCGCAAACCGGCCAGATCCTGCCGCCTCTCAAGCGCCAGCTAGCTTTCGACTCCACCAAGCCGCCATTCGTTCCTCCAGGCGACTATTACCACTTTGGCGGCGGTTCTTCCAATGTTCATGCTCATGATCAACAACCTGAAGCTGTCCTTGTCAAACCTCTCGTGAGTACTGCAGTTTGTTTATTCGCTCGTTTCTCTTCTGCATTGTTGCACAATTGGTTATTCCTTTGTTGCTACTAGTTTGTTGTTATGTTTTGTTCGTCGATTTTGGAATGCTTTCGGACCGTGTATCAAATCCTGGACCAGTTCACCTTGGCTGTCTCCCGCATGTATGTTTAAATTCTATCGATGCTGTCCTAAGATTTTCATTTTCAATTCTAATTTTATGAAGCTTTAAAGTTTCGCGTCTTGAAGATTTTATGTTTTTTTTTCCTCATCGCGGTGAATTATTGTGCTCGTGCATTTCTTTCCTCTGTGCTGACGCGTGCATGAGTAGGAAGTTATTTATAGTTGAAGATTTCTAAATGTTGGTGAAAATGTCTTTATCACTTCCCATCGAAGTACAATGGAATGTAGAAGTCTGCACATCACCCCTTTGCTTGTTATAAGAATCTATCATCTATGTTATGGACCTCAATCATCGGAACAAAATTTGACTCACATGTTGTAGGTAGACTAAGTATTTAAGGTATACTAACAATGATTTATAGTTCCTAATTAGCAATTTAAATTATTGATATGCGTTAAATTAATGTAAAATACATAAAACTTACAATATAGATTTCAGAATTGTTGCTTTAAATTTTATTGTGGGCTGAGAATCTTTTCAGAGTTGTCAAAGCTCTTGAGTTGTAGGCTTGAAAAATAGTTTACTGAAGTCTTCCATTGTTGGGATTGACTATGGCAAGAGATTGATTCTTTGGCCTAGTCTGTATGGTTGCAGCACTTTTTCTTAAGCTTGGCCTCTGGAGGCAATCCTAGGAAGATTGAGTTTTGGACCCCATGCTGTAAAGAATTATAGGAAACTTTCAAAATGGATGATGTTTTATATGTTCAAACTCCAGAGGAGAAAGGCTTATATCGATCCTATTGGACACTGCTAATATTCCCACTTACTTTATTTCCTTCTTCTATAACCAAGTAAAGTAGCCAGCCGGGCTGAAGCATTCCTTAGGTACTTTCTTTCTGAAGGGGTGTAACTCAATGGTAGCCGTCACTTGGTGGGTGGAAGGTTGTTTATTTGCCCCTTGAAGGATGGAGGCTTGGTAATAGAGAGTAGAAAGTTTTAGTAAATTGAATACGTCTTTCCAATCAAGAAAAGAGGCCATTTGATGCAGATTTAATCCAAGTGGTTGGAGTTTCTGTTTTAGATGAAATATCCACGACAAAGTAATTATTGAGTGAATTTCCTTGAGCTCTTGACTTGACTCCTTAATCCTGTGATTCTAGGGATTTCATTGTTTGGGAAACTGATTCGAAATTCAATTTCTGCCAGATCCCTCTTGCTAAATGAAAGAACTTAAGTATTTGATTATTTCTTTGGTCTTGGCTATTGAAGGAAACAATACCAACGACAACAACAAACATTTAAGAAAGTTAAACGTTTCTATTATTTAGTGTCTCTTTTGTGGACGACAAAAAATCATCCAACCATATACATGTCTCCCACCCCTGTAAACTTCAGTTCTGATCGGCTATTTTCAATGAGTTCAATTTGCATTACACCTTCCTTGGCTTGTTCCTTTTACTTGCTAACCCTTTCTACAAAAGGTTAAAGTTTTGTGGTCTACCTTGTGGTGCCAATGTTATGGAACATTTGGTTGAAGAGGAATAAGTGGCTCTTCCTAGGATCGGTTAGCATTTTCCATTTTTATGGGATTCCTTATGTTGTCTGCTCTTGTCTTGGAGCTCTCTAACAAAAACTTATGTAATTTCAATGTTCGTTTTAATTTGGATTTTGGAATTAATTTTTAGAGAGTCCTGGTGAGAATTTAGCTTGTGATATCTCTGTCATTTGATGTTGGAGAAGCTTCCAATTGTTTTAAAAAGCTCAAAAAAGTGTGCGCTTCACGCTAAAATGCAGTTTAGGTGCCTTGCCTTGTTAAGTGTGTGCCTGCTTAAATGCAATATTCTTTTAATAACTAGGGTTAAATTAAGTAAAGAAAGTTAACTTAAATATATAGCTTTTGACTCTCCTTTGTTTGGCATTATCATCCAAAGTCTACGGCACACCTTCTCTCTCCAATAGATGAGAGGCACATATAATCTAGTAATGATAAAAATGAAGATGGAAAACTATTTGGCAATGAATGATGATGAGTTTTAATTTTTAGGCCTTTGCATATGTAATCTAGGAATGAGAAAAACTTGGATGGTTATTGGGTTATCATCTTGTGTTTTTAATGTAAATTATTGATAGCCATCGTTACTACGTGGTTAGCTGAAGAACCCACTCTCTAGCTGCCCAAACCTCTAAAGGAGGGCTTTCTTGTAATTAGCCATCATGGCTTTTTGGTTATTCCATACATCAATGAAATACTAGTTTCTTACCCAAAAAAAAAAAAGAAAAGAAAAAGAAAAAGAAAGTGTTTGGATGCATGTGGGACCTACAAACTTTTCCTGCTCTATAACATCATTTGGAAAATTTTAGATCATCTCTTAGTTACATTCCAATTGCATATATATTTCTAAAAAGAAAAGGATTCTTATTTTCCCCCCCTTAAATTTATTTTATAGATGATTAAATCCTCTTTATAAAGAGTAGAGGTGATGGTGATCTTAAAAATTAACTTCATGGATAGACTTATCCCTTGGTAAATATAAACTAAAGGATCGACGTAAATCTAATCTATTATACATCAAGATAAAACACATGATTTAAAATATAATAAAGATAATGACAAGTTGGTTTGCTTAATATGAGGACTCTTTTTTTTGGTACATCTAAAATGAAGGTCCATTCATCAACAGTTGTTACTTTAGTTTAGTTGAAGTTCAATGGTGATGCAAATTGTATTTATTACGTTTTTTTAGACTTAACCTAGATGATCCTCCTTTGCTGTATTTGAAATTATCTTCCAATTTTCTATTTGCTTCTAAATTTTAATATTGTCAACTCCTTGATTTCTTTCAGAAACTAAAGCAGAAGGGTGCTATGTATCACAATATGRTTGAATCTAATGACTGCATTMATGATCARGGATCTTCCAAAGATGCTCTAAGTTCTATACAGACACCCGTGTCTGCAAAAGGAGGAAGGGTGTACAAGTCAAAGGCTTCAAGGAGAACTACATCTGGGCCTCAAACACCAATCTCAGACACTAGTAAAAAATTTTATATAATTATTTTAATAGTTTTAGATGGATAGTTTAACTTTTTTTATGAAATCGTAAATGAACTTTGAAGCTATATGAATATGATTAATTAGTTTTCTCTACTTGCAGGCTCTTTTTCATCTCTTACTCCAGCTGGAAGCTGTCGATATGACAGTTCTTTAGGTAACTTTGCAATTCTTGCTAATTTCATTTTGTTCATTCTGTCCAAGCTACATTGATGCATAGTTTTGGCTCAAATAAATGGTGCTCAAAGTATTCTGAAACTTTTAGGTCTTCTGACAAAAAAATTCATCAATTTAATTAAGCAAGCAAGGGATGGCATTCTTGACTTAAACAACGCTGCAGAAACTTTGAAGGTAATAATTGTAATTACATAAAATTTCAATTTTCTATCTAGTGGTGACTAATATGAGATATTCATAACACAGGTGCAGAAGAGGAGGATATATGACATAACAAATGTTTTGGAAGGCATAGGTCTCATAGAAAAGAAGCTGAAAAATATAATATACTGGAAGTAATGTATCAATTGATGTGTTGGTCCCCTTTTTTTTTTGGCTTAGCTTGTTAAATAGAAACTCTGATAAAAAGTTAAAAGCAATTGAGTTGAGTTATTTAGAATCTATTTAATATTTGTTCAGGGGATTCAATGCACAAATTCCAGGAAATGTGGATAGTGATACTTCTATGTTGCAGGTCTGGATTTGAATTCTGTCTTTTGGTTTTAAAACCATCGCATTTTTACTTTTAAGAATTATTGTGAGGGTCTAGTTTTCCCTTGTACAACTAATTATTGGCATATCTAATAATTACTATATCTGGAATCTATCCTGCTTAACAGTCATAATTTGAGATTGCACCATGTATCCTGCAGGTGGATGTTGAAAACCTTTCTTTTGAAGAGCGTAGATTAGACGACAAGATAAGGTTACGTATTTAATATGTTATTAATTTCTATATTTTGAATCACAAATGATAAACTCATGTTCCATAGTTATATTTGCAGAGGATTGCAGGAAAGATTGAGGAATCTGAGTGAAGATGAAAATGTCCAAAAGTAAAAGTTCTTGTCCTTCCATTCTGTTCCATTTTCCACCTAGAGTACATGAATGAAATAACAACATTGCATATGTTTTCAATTATGATAGATGGCTCTACGTGACCGAAGAAGACATTAAAAACTTGCCTTGCTTCCAGGTGAATTCGTCATAAAGTCTTTATTTATGATCACATGTTACTTCTGATTTTAACACTTATTTGATGGTTACATGGTTTGAGTATTGGATCTATATGTTCAGGATTCAAATGCACTAGTCATATCCTAATTAGGACAACGCCATTTCACCAACAAAGAAAACAAAAGAAAATAATAAAAGAGATGAAAACTAGGACAATGATTCCAAACAGGGTGGATCTTATGATTCAATGGATAGGATTCAGATATGATTTACAGAGTGCAAATCCATGAGTGTTTCTAATAGAAAATAACTCTTCAATTTGCAAACAGGAAGGAAGTTTAACTTCTTTTTTTTTTTCTTTTTCTACCTCCCAACAATACTTTGGCTTTTCTTTGCAGAATCAGAGAAAGAGGGAGGGTGTATGATTAAAGGAAACAATAAACTTAGATGATTTTTAAGATTATGAGTTCAAATTTGGTTGGTACTTATGATATCAATAACATACCATTAGTTTCTCGATCTAAATGCTTTTGGGTTAGATGGACATTAGCCATGGTAGAGACAAGAAGTTGAGGTAAATGAGGAATGTGACTTTGACACCCACAAATATAAACAATTTTGTGTTTGCTTTTGTTTCTATAAATCTCATTGTTTTGTCTTTAATATATCCAGATGCATGGGTTATTTCACAGAAGAGGTAAAATAAAATAGTGAGGAGAAAGAGGGAGGGTGAAATTACATTAGGGAGTGGTTGAATAACTAGAAGCACCCCATATTTTCTAGGTTAATGGTGGATGGTTTGTGGAAAGTTATTTCATGTGATCTCCAAATAATCACTTTTGAGTTTTATCAAATTAGTGTTTCTTAGCATGATGATGATTATGAAATTAAATTTTTGTTGTGATATTAGATGTAAGAAAAATAGTTGGGAACGATAAAAATGTCATGGAGTTGCATTAATGTTTGGTAATACATATGATATGTACGTGAAATAGTACACGTTTTGTTCATAGTTTTACAACCTTTTTTGGATAAAGCATAGTTTTACAACCTTGCCTAAAAATTTTAATTAAAATAGTGATATTTTCTTGGGCAGAATGAAACCCTGATAGCAATTAAAGCTCCTCATGGAACCACATTGGAAGTTCCTGATCCCGATGAAGTAATGAGCATAAAGTTTTAAGAAATGCTACATGTTTGTTTGATATCCTTTTTGATTTCCCTCTTTCTGATAACTAAGAGGATGTTCTCGTTTTCATCATGCTAGGCTGTTGATTATCCACAGAGAAGATATAGAATAGTTCTTAGGAGTACGATGGGTCCTATTGATGTATATCTTGTCAGGTATCCTTTTCTAAAATCCTTTAAGAGTTGATTAAGTCAGGTATCCTTTTCTTATATTTTTACTGCTACTTTTTTTTATGCAAAATAGAAATTATTTTTTTTTTCCATATTAAAATTCTCCTTGTTCTTTTTTTTATGCAAAATAGAAATTAATTACCCTAAATTCTCCTTGTTCTTTAGTCAATTCGAGGAGAAGTTTGAGGAGATGAATGTGGTCCCACCACCTAGTAGCTTCCTACATGCTTCAAGTTCAGGATCTAACGAACATCTAGCTACAGAAGTAATCATTGGGGAGAATAGTAGAAAGGAAACAGAACCTCCGGCACATCTGTCCCAGCACAGCAGCAGCTGTGATGTGAACGGTTCAAACGAGTTTCCTGGTGGAATCATGAAGATAATTCCTTCAGAAGTTGATGTAAGTATTATCATGTCATCCTTATTAATTCACATTTTGGTAAATATCAAAGAAGCATAACCCTTTTCCAGAAAAGAAAAAAAAGGGTAGATTTACGTAGGCATGCCCTAAACAATGATTTTGCATATTCTTACTCATTTTAATTCATTTAAATATAATGAATTATATGTGTATGTATATCAGTATATGCACGCCTAGACATATGAGACAGAATGGTCGACCAATTGTTCATTGGTCCAGATCATTGTTGATAGCTTTTTTATATGCTCCTATTATATTATTGCAGAATGATGCAGATTACTGGCTGTTATCAGACGCTGAAGTTAGCATTACAGATATGTGGAGAACAGATTGTATCCTTTTTTACATTGTTTTAAAACTACCATTGTGATATCTGTATATGTCTCAATACATCTCCAGAAAAAAAAATGGAAAACACCAAAGAAAAGTAACAGATTATAGAGGTTAATTCTTTCACTTCAGCCACAGCAGATATTGCATGGGATCAGTCAGATATGGTTCCTCATGACTTTGTAATATCTGATGTTAGTGCCCAAAGGTCAAGACCAGCAAGCCCACGTCCAGAGTCGGCCGAAGCGCCATACGATGCTAACTTAAGACAGAGGTGACAAAGGAACAGATCTGACCTAATCCACCAATGATCTGTTCCCATCCTCATTACTCAAGATGGTAGCCAAACAAACAATTAAATCATACAGGAATTCAAGCTCACTGTACAGTTTAATTTTTATAACCCAAGCAATATTCTGGGAAGTTTTCCAAGCATGGAAAAGAATACAACTATGTAGACCAGCCAGCACGCGTAGTGCAGAGGTTAGTGTTTTCATATTCTCATTCTTCGAACTCCATTCAGTTCTGTTTGATTGTTGACTAACTCAGATTATCTCAGGAAATGGAAACAAACATTTGTAGTGTAGAGGGTGGGCAGCATGTAAAGCTGGTTTCAAGACTTAGTGCCAGGCCGGCAAGATCTTAAATGCATTGGTAAAACTTCCCATCTTCCTTTTCAAATCCATTTTAACATTAAGGGGTTTGATGATATCTGATAAGGGGAAGCTGTAGTTTGATTCGCACACTTGGTAACTGAAATTTTATGTAACAATGTGTTAAATTTTGGTTCTATACTATGTGTTTAAACTTGGAATAGTTGTTTGTTGTTAGCCAAAGATAATGGAAACCATAGGTTACTAAAGTAACATATAGTCTATTACTAGCAAAAGTTTATTCAAGCGTTACACATTCTTGATTTTAGTTCCCTATTTCCTTAACTTAGGGAATCAAGTCAAAATCGAAAAATATTTAATGTAACTGGTGGAATTGATTTATTTTATTGAGGACAAGTGGCGTAGGAGAATTCGAATTCATGACCTTTTGGTTAGAGAGATAGGTGTCAATTATCACTAAGTTAAACTTACATTGGCCGGATGGAATTAAATTGGTTTAGTTGGGGTTGAACAAAAAAATAGCGGTTAGGTTTCATTTCATCATAAATTAAATATTTTGACCTACACCTAACTTCAACTGCATTGTATGAAAATTTAAAAGCATTCACACTGACCATCAAACCTCGTGGTCCACCCTACTTTATGTCATGGGAAATCTTAGTATTAGTATATAGTCTTCACAAAGTTCGGTGGACATCTGATTCCAATAGGCCAAAAAATTCTGATTGGATTGGAGTGGGATTGGACCACACCAAACTTTTAATCTCTTTTTAATTAAAAATTGTTATTGTTGTTGATATTATTATTATTACTTTCTTTTTTTTAGTTCAACACGTACGGTTAAGGTTCAAACTTTTGATCTTTTGTGGATATTCATTCTTGAAAAATTTGTTACATTTTTATGAATTTGTTGGTATAGTGTAGAGTTAATTTAAAACTAATTTCACTTGTTACTTTTGTTGTATATATTGCTTGTTATTTATTTAACTTTTGCTTGCAAAATCATTAAAATTAATTTATAAATAAATACATAAACTCGATGTTTGTTTAGAGTTATTGGAACTTGCTTTAGTCTCTAAAACTTTGATTATGCCCAATTATCGTTTATGCTAATATTTTAGTTTGGCAAAAGCTTGTTTGATGTGCATGAATGGCCCCCTGACTTTAATTATTATTCTACGTTCCATGTAAAGCCAATATATTTGTTCCTTTAGATATTATTGTAATTTTTTATTCTTTGAAATTTTTTAAAGTTGATCTTAGGTCATCTACTTCGGTCAATATCTCCATAATAAATCACATATTTGACAAATTTGTAAGTTAGATAATTGGTATAGTTCTCTATTGATGTTATTTTCCTTTTATCACTAATCAATCATATTGTATTAGCTAATTTATGATGATCTAGCTAAGTTTAACCTCAAATCTCCCCACAAATTAGATAATTTTAATTTTTAAGGAAGCTTAAATACTTTCCACATAATTTAAATCAAATTCAGCTAAGTGAAAGGTACTCTTGCATAAGACTTTAAGCAAAAACTAGAATGTAGATGAAAATAAAATAGAGGACTTGATTTACTCAAAAACCACAGGCCTATTAATATCTTGGATCAAGTACGAGTCTTGAAGAAATTTTTTTTGATCTTTGCTTAAGTCTTGAATTAAGCTTTAGAATTTCTTAGATATTTCTTCAGTGGCTCTCTTAAGATACTATTGAAGCTTTAGATCACTTTTAAGAGATGTTGGGAGTTTGAATATGAATTTATGGACGAGACTAATAGACTCATCGTTTCATCGAAAGTTTTTGTTTTTTTTTTTTTGAGTAAAGCATGTTGGGAAGGGGACTCGAACTCTTAACCTCTTGGTTGGAGGTATATGTCAATTACCGCTGAGCTATGCTCACTTTGGCCGTTTCATCGAAAGTTGGACCATTCTTCATACATGCAAAAATTATATTTTTATATGATATACAAATTTTCTTTATAGTATTAAAAAATAATGGAAATATTAAGGAAAATGTTGACAAAATATCGATGTTGAAGGCTATTTTTTAAAAAAATTATAAAAGATATTTAAATTAAAATTTCTTATCATCAATATTATATCTACATGAGTGATTTTTTTGTTTATATTTCTTAAAAAATAATTTGTCAATCTTGTTATAAAAAGATTCACTCATGTCGTATAGACAGATTTACTTGCAAATCTATGGACAAAAATTTAATACATTGATCCATTGTAAGATAGAAATGATATAAATGTTGGTTGGGACGGGAATTGGAACTAATGTTATTTATAACCGTTGGAATAATAATTCATTTAAATTAAAAGTTAATCCATAAAAAAAGTTGAGATTAAAAAATAAAAGAATAGTCTCTTAGAGATGGAGATGGTATGCGGTGGCAAGCATTGCTTAGCAAATGTTGTTAACGAGTCCTGATTATAGGATCTTGATTTTAAAAGATCAAATAAATTAATAAAAATAATAATCTAGCTTTCACAAATTTAACATGGGGTGAGAGATTTCATACATTTTAAATTTATAATGGAAACCACAAATCACAAATTAATACTTGTGATTTAAATAGTTAGAAATTATTTTGTCATTTACCCTTGAGAGGCGAGCCCACTAAATTCCAATTCTAACTTTAGATGTGGAGCCCACAAATCACAAAAATTAATAACAAATAACGATTCTAATTTCTAACAGTTTTTTTTTTCTTTTTTACGATAAACTATAATTGGTAATTTGTAATTTCTTAATAGTTTAGAAAAGTACTTTGTCATTTACCCTCAAGAGGTAAGTCTACTAACAATTGTGAACTTCCAATAAGAAAAACTTTAAAATTGGTTTAATACTATAATACTATTTTCATATTATATTTGTTTTAGTCTCTGGACATTCATTTTTTCTTTATACTTTTTCTTTTATCGATTTTAATCGTACTTTCAAAATGTMCATTCTAATATTAAAAAAGTGATAATTTCGATCTTTCATTTCTATTTCATCTCATTTTTACCACAATTTCAGTTCCACATTACCTTCAATAAATAAATGAAATATCACACGCATTATTTGATTAGGCTAATTAATTATACGCATCAAGGCAGGCAAGTCATTTGGTCTAAATAAGACCAAGAATTAATAAATTGAAAATTAGGCAAATAAAATGTTTTGGATAAATAAATAAAAATAAAATTGATAAGGAAAACACGTCAGAAGGAGACAACTTTGGGCCAATAATTGCAAACGCAAAGCCGCCGAGTTTCCCAAAAAACGTTATTCTTCCATTTCCCTCTCACCGCACCACACCATATTCTCTCTCTCTCTATGGACGGCTCCGCCGCACCGCCAGCGCCGTCGCTATCACCACCAGTTCTCCGCCGCAGAAACTCGATTCCGATTCCCTCCTCCGCCGCCATGACTCCGCCAGACGGCACCGTTTTCCCCCCTCCGCCGCCCTCGCCGATTGACTTGAGGCTCCTCTCCTTCAAGTCCTCCTCCCAATCCTACACCTCCCTCAAGGACATCCTCCCCTCCACCGCCGCCGTCAACTCTCCGACCGCCGCCTCCGCCCCTAACTCCGGCTACGAAATCTCGATCCGCAACCGCCTCGTTAAGCAGGCCGCCTGGGCTTACCTCCAGCCTATGTCCGCCTCTTCCTATTCCGCCGGCCCTAATTTTTTCCACCGTGTCTGCCTCCGCCTCTCCGCCGGAAATCCGATCACCGATTGTCTCGGATTCATCAGAGGGACTGTAATCCCGGCCATTGTCCGAGTTATTCGCCTCTGCATTTGCTTGTGACGGCGTCGTTTTCGCAGATTTCGGATTGCCGTATTGACTACGACGACGACTTCTGCCGCTGTAATCGACTAGATTTGATTCCGCTGTAAAAATCCCTCTCTTTTCTCTTACAGAAAAAAAGGTTTGCAATCCAATCGCAAAAGAGAATCAACATTCATAGAAAAACAGATTCAATTTGAACGAACATTCGAATAATTTACATTTTACACAAGAAAGAATTCCAGTTTCAATTTCTCTTGAATCTCCATCTGAATTCGATCGATTCAATTCTTTTGTACAGCATTTTTTTTTGTTCTTACAATTACAAAATTAAGATAGCGGTTTAACTCGCCTCAATCGAGTTCGTACCCCTGGGGGATATGGAGATGCAGGTTTATCTTGCTCATTATCCTGTGCTTCGCAGAAGTCTGGAGATTGGCCACCGTCTGCAGCATCCGCCGTCTCCGAATCCGCAACGCCGCCTCCGACGCCAGACGCCGCCGCGGCTCTCTGCGAGTCGGCCGTCTGCACGCCGGCTCGAGCGGAGAACGACGGCAATTTGTTTGGAGGCGGTGGAGACTCCATGGGAGGTTGCTGATCGATTTTCTACAAAAAAAAAATTCAATTAAGAGAGAATCCTGAAGATTTTTGGAATCTGAATAGCAAAAAAAATGTACTATTCATGAACTGAAATAATAAAATCAACCATCAAATTCCTGCCACGTGGATCAATAGTATATGGTTATTGAAAACAAAAGATAAAAATTAACCACCTATTAATTTTCACCATAGAGTTTAGGAATGGTTGAATTCAAATTTCTATTATATTATTTTAGAGGTTAATGATAAAACTAATAAATATTATTTTATAAACTATACTGAAAAGGCATTTTGAATATTAATCAATAAAGATATGAATGGTGAGTGGTAATTAAAGAAAAAAAAAGGTGAAGAATAAACTAAAATTTCAAAATTGAAATCTCCTCGTGCAGTGTATATAAAAGGAAAACTCGATGTAATTATGGAATGCGATCCATCTAAAAATCATTCTTCAATATTCTAAATATAAAAGCTTTTTCCATAATAGGCATCCTATAATCGAGTTTTAAAGGTCATGTCATATACATATATGGTATTTGGGCTGGGCTTTGGTCATTGGGCCATTGGTCCAGTTCTTGTGTGGGCTTAACCACTCCAAAATTTAAAGAAAGTTAAAGTTTCAATCCTTATTTATCATTATTTTCTTTTTCAGAATGGCACTCGCGTCCACTCTAAATTCGGACTAGAGAGATACTAAGAGTTTTTAGTATTAAGCTCATTGAAAAGTTCAAATTTGAGACTTCTAAAGCATCAAAAGATCTCGAGCTACGCCTTGGGATAAAGTCCACTACTTATTCAAGTGCAAAGTTGAAGTGATGAAATTGAAGAAAAAGAAATGTCATATAAAGAATTTGATTAGAATGAAATGGAAAAGTTACCCAGGGGGAGTTCTTGAACTTTGAGGACTGGAAATCAGCAGCATATTTGAGGACTTTGAAGAAGGTGGAATGGGCCATTTCTGAGAAGTTTGTGCAGAAAAGGTAAGCCAAATCCCAAGCCCTCACTTTCAATTCCACCAACATTCTTTCAATCTCTGCTTCATTCTTCACCAAATATGGCTGCAACATTGTTCCATACAGGTGCCCACTTCCCTGCAACACATTTTCCAAAATCCTTTCGAATATTTGTGATGTAATATTCTAAAAAACTCATACTCGCACCGTTATTTCTATTTATTCTTGTAATTGAGTAGTTTTTACCACATATCTAAACTTTGACTTATGTTTTCATTTAGTCTATATTCTAGATCACCATTGATATAAATCCATTAAATAAAATTTAGTGCAATACGGAATTGTGCAACTTATTTATCTAACCCCTATAGCCAATATCTCAATCCTATTAACGTTAATATATATATATTAACATAGGTTTCAATAGTTGGACAAGTAAAAAGACATTATATTGGAATCAGAAAAGACTGAATTTATAATTTAAAGTTTTATTAATTACCCTTGTTTTTGGATGCCATAAGTAGACAAGAAAAACCAGCTTCATTTCACCATACACAGGAAGCCTTCAAAACAAAATAAATATGTGATCATAACAATAAATTAAAGCCAAATGAAAAATAAACCAATTAAAGAGAGATCAAACACAACACATACCATGCTATTAAAATATCAGAAATCCTCTCAAAAACTGTGAAAATTGCCACAATAATCCTGCAAAAGAAAAAGAAAAAAAGAAAGGAAAAAGGTTTCAGCATATTTATTTCTTCATCAAATCTAAACTAAATTTGAAAAAGCTAAAGCAAAGGTTTTCAAAAGCTTGTTTTTAAGAAAGATGAAAACATATCAAAAAATTGGAAGTAAAAATAAAAAAAACTGGTATGTATTATATCTTTAATCTCTAAATATTTACCAATATTTGCACCAAAAACGCAGTGATTCAACGTCAAGATTCCTGTTGTTCCTCTCCAAAGTTTTGTAGCACTCGAATGCTGGGTATGCATACCCAAAAGCCATCCTAAACACAAAACAAAATCCAAAAAGAAAAAAGATGACATGTTTTTTTCTTTCAGAAAAATGATTTCAATTAGAGGTTGTTTGAAGATGGGATCCATAGAGAAATTTGTTAACTTACAACAGGCATCGTGTGATGAAATCTCCAAACATTTCTCCGACCCAAAAAAAAAAAATCTCACAACTTTCTCACTTCAACCTTGAGATCAGAAAATTTTCTTGGGAAACAAACAGGAGCTTAGGGGTGATTAATATGGCATTAATCTTATTTTCGTTGGTTGGTTTTCTGCAAAAGATAAGAAAGAAAAACAAACGAAATAAAAAATAATGGGAAAAATGAAAATGGGAACCCACCAACCAACGAACTTGTCTCAAAAAGGGTTGACCTCTAAATACAACTCTAAATAATAACAAAATTTTGTTTGTTTTGACCAATTCATACAAGAAACTGAAGATTCTCTTCTTTTTCTTTGTGAAAATAATTTAGGGTTTAATTTTGGATGCGATTTTGGAAGGGAAGGAAGAAATTTGTCGGGATAATTTGAAGGTGATTTTTTTTTTATATTATTATTATAATTTGGGGAGGGAATTCGTTGGGATGTGCTTAATTATAGGACACTGGCAGTTTTGGCGGTTAACTTTAAAGGCTAAAAGCCATATCGGGGTGTTTTTGTCCTTTGACTTTCATGGGTTAATTCGGGAATACTGAATTTTTAGCCATAAAATAAGCTTTAAACAAAATTAAGTTTGATTAATAAATAATTTCGTAAAACTTACAGATTTCATATAAAATATATGTTTTATAATTTATTAGATATATTTGCTTTTTCAAATGAAAATCTTATTATAAAAATTGAAATACATTTTGATAAAGTGAAGATTACCACAATTTGGCAAAATCGAAAATTTATGTTAAAAATTTAGACATGCTAATGTCAAGGTAGATTTTTTTTGTTCGTTTTTTTTAAAATCAAATCCAAACCCAGGAACAAAGATGTCACTCTTGGAATTCTAGGAAATCATACTCAAAACTAAATCTAAATTTTAGATTAGAAAAATGTTACTGAAGCTTGAAGGATCAAATAGTAAATTAAATCAAAATCGATCGGGTCCGGCCCGTTTGGTGTTTGTTGTTTCTCATCTTTTCTTAGAACATCCTTAAAATCGTCTAGAAATTTTGGAAACAACCAAAACAGGTTTTTAAGAGCGTGTAGTGTGATTTTCTTTTTTTAATATAGTGAGTGTCCGGGCCAGTTTAGCAGAAACAGTAAACCAGAATTTGAATACATTGCCTCTTAATTAACCCTCCATGATGGTTGTGTAGTGTGATTTTTTAATCTAACTATGTTGGAGCCATCTAATTCATTTTTTTTAAAAGTGAAAAGAAACGGAACGCTAATAATTGAGCCCTAAATTATCTAAGAGTGTGTAGAATTGTTTATAAATTCATAAAAAGAAATCCTAATATGTATTAATTTCTCAATTGAGTTTAGTTAAGTTCTCAATCGTGGCTCTGATGCTGGTAATTGTTGCCCCATGGAACAATCGACGAATATGGAGGTCCATGGAACAATCGACGAAGATGGAGGTTGTGGTGTTAGTAATTCTGGCTCAAACTCATTGAATTTCCTCTTGGTCCCTTTGTTTGTCGGTATATCATTCTTTCTAATCCGGCGAAGAACATACTCACTGCCTTCGTTAGGCTCATCAAAACTGAACTCATTTGAAGAAACCAATAACACCGATGGATGATAAAATAGGAGTCTCATAATTCTCACCACTCCAAGTACCGACATTGGTACCAACTCGACGGCTGATGTGAGAGGAGTCTTGTTTGGTAGGCCACTTCCTCTTGAGCTTGGTGAAGAAGGAAAGATCTTGGCCATCGACTCGTCGAAAACTTGCCATGGCTCATGGTTGCCATAGAGGTCGAAATCTTTGACAGCTTCTAAACATTAGGGGAGGCCATTTTTGGCTAAATTCTGGATTTCATATCAAATATATGTTTTATAACTTATTAGACATACATGATTCTTGAAATGAAAATATTATTATAAAAATTGAAATACTTTTTGAAGTTTAAAGTGAAGATTATCACACTAATCTAAGTTTAGATGCAATTTGACGAAATTAAAAATTTATGTTAAAAATTTATATATACATGCTAAATGTCAAGGTAGAAATTTATTTAGAAAAAAAAAAGCCTAATCCAAACCTTGTAACAGACACGTCGCTTTCAAAATTTTTGGAATCATATAGAAACTAAATCCAAACGTTAGAGAACAAAAATGAAGCGGAAAGAATCAAATAGTAAACTAAATGGAAACTAGAAATAAAATAAATACCAACTGTGGAGAACCAATTGTGTAATTTGCGTCCACTGTAAACATAATAAACTATTCACGTGAATATTAATATTAATATAATTAAACGTTTTCGTTTTTGGTTCGTTTCCAATTTTCTTAAAAAATTTAAATATTTTGTAACTAATTATTTATTGGTTTTTTTGAATATTCTCAAAATTGTATAAATATTTTGGAAACAATCACAAAACAAGTTTCTTCTTCTCTATTGTTCTCTCAAAACAATTTGTTCCAAAACATAAATAAAAAGATTTTCTGATTTTTTAAACTATATAATTCATTTTTTTTTATTAAAAATGACAAAACAGAGATAAGAAATTTAACAAACTAGCCCTAAATAATCTAACGTGTGATTTTTTAATCAATAAGTAATGTTTGTTTAATTTTAAATATTTTAAAGTTTTTTTAATTTTATAATTTTTAAGATTTAAAAAAATAGTGATATTCCTATAAAATTGATCATTGGATGGGTCGGTCAAAATCAGTTTATAAATTCGTAAAACAAAATCTTAAAATTTATTAAGTTCTCAATTGAGTTAGTTAAGTTATATAAATGCTTTGAACTCTAGAGAATTTTGTAATTATATCCTTAAATATTCAAAACTTTAATTTTTATCCATAACCTTTAAAATGTTTCAAACAACATTTTTATCTTAAATTTCTGTTAAAATAAACACAAAAAACATATCGTAGTGTGAGTTGTAAAAATAGTACACACGTGTTGGATGGGGGCACATATGAGAGATTTTAGTTATGCATTTATTTCAAAATTTTCATTCTAATTATAATAAAAATGAAATGAAAATACTTAATTTTTTTTTACTGTACTCAACCACATTAAATTGACAGGAGAAATACAAAAATATAATACTTTTTCTTAAAATAATAAATTTCCATCATTAAAGGTAAAAAATGAAGGTATTTTTTCATACTAGTTCCTCTGCTCTGAAAATATTCATTTTAATCTCTATATTTTTAGTTTTGATTCATTTTAATTCATATATTTTGAAAATGTTTATTTTTTTCCTGTATTTTTAAAAGATGAAGGTACTTTTTAATAAAATGAAAAGATCAAAATATTCAGTTTTTAAAAATACAGAGACCGAAATACATGCGAATCAAAATTGAAAGTACAAGAATCAAAATAAATATTTTAAAAATATAAGATCTAAAATAAACAAAAATCGAAGGTAAATAGACTAAATTAGTATTTTAATTTTTTTTAAAATAAAAATATAATAGTTCTAGCTACTAGTGAGATAAAAGCTACGATAAAAAAATATTAATTAGACAGTTGAATCGCCAACTTGTGATGATATTTATTAAAATCTCAGTTGAATTTATTTGGATGGAAAATGGGAAGAAAATATCGCGGAGATTCCAAGAGCGAAGGCATGTTCCTGCGTCTTCTTCCTTCACTCACCGTTGGATCCACCAATTTCTCATTCTTCTTCAACTCCAAGTATTTAATTTCACTTCCATTAATGTTCATCGCTTTATGCCAAAATTTTCATCTACTATATTTTCTTTTTTGAATGCGACGTGCTTTGCACTTTCCTTTAAATTTTCATTCCAACAATGCACCACAGTCAACACAATGCTCCATTTTACCGCAAAATCACTTAGAAATTCGCTCTCGTTTCTCTTTCACCCGTTTCTTTGATTCTTTTGTTGCCAATAATCATTCAGATTGAAGAAATTCTCAAGGTGTGCGTTCGTTCATATGGGTCGAGAAGTTGTTCATTCTTTCAGTAGAAGACATGCGGAGTTCCGTTTCTGCAATGTGTCAGGGTAATTCAGTCTCGTTTATGTTGATTGAAATTTCTCTTGAAACTGCACTTTTTGTAAATTGAATCGCCTCCATTTCTGGGGTTTTGATAGTTTCACCAATGAATTGCTGGAGATTCATTCGGATGATCCATCATTGCACGTATTGTTCATACCTGGAAATCCAGGTGCTTATGTATGCTTCTTTGGATGTGGGTGTTTCGATGTTTCTGTTGATTTTTCGTATAGTTTCTGAAGGTGGATTGTTTTGGGTTTCGTTAGGAATTATTTCATTTTATAAAGATTTTCTGGAATCGCTATATCAGTTGCTTGGAGGCCGAGTGTCTATAACAGGCAAGACATGAGTTGTTGACATTTATTCATATACCTATAATTTTTTTTTTAAGGAAACATTAAATCTTTTCTGCTGTTATATTTGGGCTGACGCTTTTTCTTGTTCCATTTTTCCCTTTTTGGCTCTCCTTTTGTTTACTGTCAGCTATTGGGCATGTATCTCAAACGAAGAAGGTACTTGGATACGGGTCATATGAAGTTTATCTCTGTTATTTACATTTTAGCTTTCTTCTTTGTCTTCAGAATTACAAACGTCTGGACACAGAGGCTTAACTAGGGAGAGAGAGTGAAGTTTTTCAATTCAGAAATCTTTCTTAGTTGCTAATTGTCATAAAGTAATGAGGGAATAACATTTGGGAAAGATAGCAACATAATTTATCAAAAAAGTCGGATAAATTCAAATTTCAAGATAATTTCATTACATTTTTGCATTATCTTACATATGGTAAGTTGCTTTTCTCTATCTGTATCATCTTTCCTTTGCTGAACATCTAAGACTATGTTATATAGATGATGATCAGAAATGTTACTTATTTGGATAGGAACAATGATAATTATCATTTACTTTTCAATGAAGGATGTTGATAGGTCTAAATGAGAATAGTTTAAGCAATGCATTGCCATGCTTTCCTATCAATATGCATGTTGATAATGTTTTTCTTCTAGAAATGATGGCTTTGTGCGCTGCATTTTTATATATGAACTATAAGTTGCTCTCTTTAATTATTGACTATGGTCAGACATGCTTAATTTTAGTGATTTTAAAGCAAATGGGTTGATGTTGCTCGGATGCATATTATTCAGTTTGTCCATATAAAATTCCCCAACGATTTTGTGTAATGGATATTGATAATTCTTCTTTTAGGACTGGGAAGGTGGAAGGTTATTTTCATTACAAGAACAAATTGATCACAAGGTAATTTTATGTTTTCTTTGATGATTTGATTGAGTTGTTAATGGGTTAAGGTGACAAGTGGTCCATGAAAAATTTGAGGCATTCCATGATACCATTGCAGAACTGTGAAACGAAGATCCTTTTACTCAAGATTATATTTCAAATCATTATTATCAGTTTCCTGCAGGTCCCTGCAATTTCATATTTGAATTGTTGATACCAGAATTCTGTATGGGCCTGAACTATATTCACCTTTATTTTGCAGATTGAATTTGTCAGACAAGAATTACCGAACAATGACATTCCACTACTACTGGTAACAATAGTTTTATGATTACTATTGATGCTTTACTTTCACGATAAAAAAAAAAAGGAGTCGCAGGATGCAAAATTTTCAAAATTTCTTAGTTTGATAGTAAGCTCTACAATCTGTATAAATTTTCATTCTAGTTCAACCCAAAAACATTAGTTACTTGTGGTGCTTGTATGATTATTGTTAAATTGTTAACTAAAACAAGACAATGCACTTTATTGTATGTACGTGTACATTAAATGAATTATGAATATAATGAATTTGAAAAAAATATTCTACGGGCCTTTAAATCGGAATTAAGCTGTTACATTTTTTCCAGTTTATTTGCTATGTTCGTTTTGGTTGCTGACTCGTCATTTCTATTTAAAGGTCGGACATTCTATTGGATCATATATCTCCATTGAATTGTTCCGTAGGTTACAAGATCAGGTATTGCCATAAACTCTTTGTGCCTTCTATGTGTTTCCAACTTTCAAGAGATGGCTCAATGGCAATTTTTCTTGATCCTATAGGTGGTGTATTGCATTGGATTGCATCCATTTTTGATGATTAACAAACAATCTCGTCAGCAATTGCTTATTGGAAAATTTGCAGGGTATGGCCGTTAGTTTTTTTCTGATAACATGAATCACGCCTTCCTGCATTTACATTTTAGATTTTTTAGCAGCAATTTTATTGCATATCATGATTTTCAAAAATTCCCATTACATTTATATATTGATGAAAGGAGTTTGGCGTCCGGTGCCATAACAGCCATCTGCAGTATATAAGAGCATATAAGTGTGGTCATAAAACAGCCATTTTATAAGTTCGTGTTAGACTTTTGGTATTGCAAGTCGAGTCTTTCTGAGCACCACTAAGTTCATTTGGATTATCTGTCGTATTGTTTTCCTGCACCAACCAAAGGTTTAATGGCACTCTGTAAGGACTGGCTAGACAGTTTTTGTGTTGCAGATCCCCACTGCTATCGACTCTCTTTTCTGCTCTTACCGCATTGGTGGGTGCATTACCGAGACGAGCTCTAAGTTTTGTTGTGAGAAAAACTATTGCAAAGTCATGGTCAAATACTGCAACCGAGGCTGCTTGCTCTCACTTGCTAAAGGTGAAATCTAATTTATGGTTTCTAGTATGAGCTTTTGTTAGTATCCTCTTGTAACTGATGTATGTTCTGAGATTTGGAATATAATCTTTGTTTTCTACAGTACCATACCATGCGAAATGTGCTATTTATGGCGATGACAGAATTTAAAGAGGTACAGACTATGAACGAACAGTGAACACTTTAGTTTGGTGAACATGTCTACTATATATTGGATACCATGATGCTTCGACACTTTTTGCTTTTTATTGGAAGAAAAAGAAGTATAAGAAAGCATAATAAATTTCTGAGAGTTAAAAACTCCCGACTTACTTTCTAAGCACGTAAATGTACAAAGCCTAATATCAAGATCTAATCAAGTTTTCACATCTGATTGTTTATGCGCATTGTTTAGCTTTCAGAAGCACCAGATTGGGCATTTATGAAGAAAGCGAGTCAGAAATTATCATTTTTGTTTTGCATTGATGACCACTGGGCTCCAATGCATATGTATGAGGAGGTGAGATTTATACCATTTTTCCATCTTATGGATTCTATTCTGCTGCATCTATGTAGTTTCTCCAAATACTATTGCTGAAGAGATTCCATTTGTATCGTTATAATCGGTTCGAAATTAGTTTCGAAGTAGCGCGGTCGAAATACTAAAAAGGGGAGGGTCAGAAGGGCCAAAAACTATGACTGGAATGGTGATTTCAAGTTTTACTTTCTTTGCGTTTCTTATTTTCCCCACAGATTTCCAAGCAGGTCCCTGAGATTGATCTCTCAGTTGAAAGGGAGGGCCATACACATGCATTTTGCTGCTCAGAGGCTGCCTCACTGTATATTGCTCAACATGTAGCAAATTTGATCAAGAATCATCTCCCAGATTAAGGTCAGATCTCAGATTGATTCTTTCATGCTCCATTAGAGAACTTGCTCGATCACCCGTGTTCTTTTTGACAGTATCTCTGTAATTTCATCCTTACAAAATACTCGTATTGTCGACAAAAATAAAGAAGATATAACAAAATAGAAGAATGGAAGGAATAGCGTCGAATATACGACGTTATAAGTTAGCCATCATCTTCAAAGTGTTCAGGATAACTGGGTTGAAGTGCCATATTCGTGATGTTGTGGTACCGAGACTCGAATGAAGGATTTGTTTTTTCAATACTTACTGAATAATGATGGTCAAACATATGTTACTTGTATAATTTAAGCCACTAGGGCCACTAAATCTCATTGAGTTTAGCAAAATATCAGAAATGCTTTTAGATTCAACCAAGAAATCATGTTGGAATTGTCTCTATAGTTTTAAAATATATGTATTGGGCCTAAGAAGTGATTATTTTAATCCCTATTTATAAATTCTAACACAAATTTTATATACTATGGAAATCTTTTAATATAGGTTTATTACTACATTTTTTGAGGAATCATTACGGAAAAAAATGAAAGGGGTTGGACAAACAAAAATAGTTGTTTTGAAATTACAAAATACCAAAATGAACCAAAATAGATAATAAAGGATTAAAATAGTATTGAAACCCAATTATATTTATTTAGTCAATCAACTTTTTTCTAGAATAGTATTTAAACTCAATAACATTTATTTAATAAATCAACTTCTTTTTATTTGATTAACCTAAGGTAACTTGACAATAAACTAGTGGCTATTCTCTAATGTGTACAGTGTACACTTGAATAAAAATAGTAAAAGTAAAACACTAACAAAAAATTAAACTCGAACATTGCTTAATATAACAAATCAAATCACCAAAAATCTAGTAAAATGTGCCAAACTTAGCTACAGAATCAAACATAATTAAACCTCATATCTAGTATTAAAATATCTATACTAAATAAAATAACTAAAACTAGTTGCCAAATATAGCATATTTCAGCAATAATTGGCGTATATCTCCAACCAATAGTGTATATATATATAATCTATTATAATTTTTTAATGGCAGTTCCAAAAAAGCGCACTTTTATATAAAAAAAACGTATTCGTAAAAATATTTGGAAAAACAAAGGACGTCGGACAGCGTTGAAAGTTTTTTTTTCATCGGATAATTCACAAAGTGGAAGAAAAAAATACGTTGATAAATAAATTCCAATTTGTTGACTATTACTTATTAAATCTTAGTCTAGAATCTGGTTTGATCTTGTAGTCCAAATAATCTCAAACCATGACATATCTACAATAGTAGTCATTAGTAAAACAAAAATACTTGTACAAACTCGAAACCTATCTCGAACGTGGAGCGCCGAATGAGACACAGGAATTCCCCACGATGAGAGGGACGCCCTCGCCTAGCGCCATATTATATATATATATGTATATATTTATTGCGCCAATCAAATCAATTTTAACTAAAAATGGACAGGTTACCATGCTATTTAACCGTGTTAGCTAGATGGATTAAAATATTGTAATTTTTGAAAATAATTGTTAAAATATTATGTTTTTGAAAATATTTAAAATGAAAATGTTAATCCAAAACTATTTGTAAAATTGTAATAGTTTTTATGTACGTGTGAAATCTTTCTTTGATTTCAGCTGAAAAGATGAGGTATAATTGAAACCTTTTCTTGTTCTCGTCTTGAAGTTAGCGTTAATATAATTTATGCCCCAAAGCATATTCTTTTCAATACTTCCAAAAAGTATAAATTTTCTTGTAATTAGTTAAAAAAAAACTTTAACTTTATAAATATTATTAAAATATACCCCATTAGTTTTCTTTTTAATTCAATAATATAGAATATTAATTCAAAACCTCAGCCTTTTAATTTTGGATATGTCTTAATCAATTGAACTATATTTAAGTTGACAAACATACAATATATTTTTTTAATAGAACATGCGACAATAGAAAATAGAGATTCAAATCCACGACTCATTGATCGGAGATAAATGTCTTAACCAACTACGTACAAGTTGGTAAATATATCATATCTATTGAAAATCCGTGTTAAACTAAAGAATAGCATAATCTAACCTTAAAAAATACTAGTCCTACAAAAATAAGAAAAATTAATTGACAGAAAGTTTGAATAGTTAAAAGAATGCTAGCATGAGATCAAGGCATCCATGTTAGTTTGTAAGTTCGAAGCCTGTGCACGTACCAAAAAAAATTAGTTAATGAGAATAAAATAATAATTGAATTGAAAAAATAAAATAAAAAGTGTTTGCAAACTCCGATCAAATCCAAAGGACAGCGACTGTCCAAATATAAATTCCCGCAAACGGTATTGTTAAAAACTCATTCCCATTCCCAATTCTCTCTCTCTCTCTCTACAGAGTACTCTTCAAAAATTAATGGCGACTCGCCGGAGAAATCTTCGACTCACCTCCGTTTCAGTCGATCTAAACATCTGCCGGCCGAAGTTCTCAAATCTCTTCCACCTCAAACCAAAGCCATCGGCCAAATCCCCAAACCACCATCACTTCTCCGACTCCTCCGATTCCGAATCGCCGCCGTTCTCCGTCTCCGACTCCGACTCCGAGACGAGAACCTCCCTCACCTTCCGAGGCATCGGCAGAAGCGGCGGCGAGAGCGTGGCCGTCGAGAAAGACTCCGACGATCCGTACCTGGATTTCCGGCATTCGATGGTCCAGATGATTCTGGAGAACGAGATTTACTCGAAGCAGGACCTGCGACAGCTTCTCCACTGCTTCATCCACTTGAACGCGCCTTCTCACCACGGAATTATAATTCGCGCTTTCGCCGAGATTTGGGAATCTGTTTTCTCCTCCCGCTCCGTCGTCGTTTCGCCCCCTTTGTTGCCCTTCCATTCCTAGCCGTCCGATGCGCCACATCATGGGCTAAGATCCATGGACCCACGAGTTTTTAATTTTTGTCAACTGTATAAATCATCTACTTAGTAATTAGTATGCGTTGTTTTTATTGTAGATGATCATCTTTTGTTTAATTTAACTATATTTTCCCACTCTTAATTTTAGATACTTTTTGTTATTTTTTCTCTCTCTATGTTTTAAAATTTTTATTCAATTATTAATTACTATAGTAACTCATTGGTAGGACGGAATTTGAATAAGAAAATCTACACGATTACGGTGGGTATATTTTTTGAATGATGTAATAAAATAATACGAGAAATGTTTTGATATGTTATTTATTATTATTATTATTTGGATATATATATATATATATATATTTTGTTTTTTTTTTCTTACATTTTAAGCTATTTTTATAATCTCATCTCTCTTATTGATATATATGGGACATTTGAATTTGAATTTGAAGAATACAGGACATTGAAGCCTCTGAGAATTTGTTAATTATAATAAAATGAAAAATGGAAAATTAAAAAGAGATATACTAAATTGAGCTCCTTTTACTTTAAAGTATAAATGAGAAAATATCTCTCTAATAATTTAAAATGAGAAATAATATTAAATATGCATAGTACATTTTTTTATAAAAAAGAGAGCAAAATCTTCACCTAACCTATGATTTATATACTGAGAATATCAATGCAATAGAATAAAAAAACCTTACTCAAAATAAAATATCTTTATTGTGCATGAATTATTGTACTGTATATCTATTAAAAACAAAAATAAAATCAATATGAATTTTATCAAGTGGACCTATTGCTATTTTTAAAAATTAATGAATAGGTGAGATGAACAAAAGATGCACATCGAAAAGAGTCAGCAATAATAGAGATGGTTACTATTAATGTTTGGGTATATTTTCAAAATCTTATATTTTCTTGGTAAAAAATACTATATATATTGTCAATTATTGTATACGGATAGAAATCTATTCTAGCATAGATTCTAATTACAAGAAGATATACGAGTTCTTGACTCACATTGACATGATAATATTTCTAAAAAAAAAACTCTAATCATTATGTTTAGTAGAGACATAATTTAGTAAAGTAACGAGAAGTTAGCTATATACATGCATGAGAGAGCATGTATACCTAACTTTTTAGGGGATAACATTTATATGGAATTGAAATAGTTGTTATACTAATGAAAAGTATTAAACATGAAATGATTATTTGGAACTACCTTTTCGAATTTGTATTGAGATCTAAGGTTAGACTAGAGCCTGTGACATTTTTCTTAGTTGTTTGGATGATCAAGAACATTGATATGGCTGAGTTAAGTTCGTGTTCGAGCTGATGAAGAAAATGAATTACAGGTTATACACTTTTGAGTACGTTAACATCACGTAGAATTAAAATGCTTTAGCTCGATCACATATACATAGGAGCTAGATATGTGTTTCTTAATATAGGTACGAACCTCTGTTGGACACTTTGTGTCACTTAGACTATCACATAATGATTAGTAGAGAAGATACGGTTTGTTAAGATAGATATCTCAATCATGAAGAGATCGTGCCAATTAGTCGTTATTGACGAGTAGATTGAGTCCATGGTCTGACCTCTCTCAATCTCTCGATCTCTCTTATTTCCATTAGCTTTTGGTCACTACTTGAATCTCTATGGACAATTGTGATCACTCTATTCTGTCTGTTTATCTCCCATTTTTATTTATTTGTTTTTACTTTCTTCAAGTAATTATGGAGTAAAAAGATGAATATTTGATCCAAAAGGTTGACACATGGGTTAAGTTATTCAATTATGGACAAAATTTCACCTAGGTCAAGTTATTCCCTGAATATTTTAGTTGGATGACTATGTCCACTCCAACTAATAAATTTTATAATACTAAAATTTTGTACTGAAGGATTTAATTTAAATAAATTGACATAGTGAACATATATTTTTTTATAAGAAAAAGTCCAAACGAACCTAACTCGGCGGTATTGAAAAAAAACATTTAAAAATTAAAAAAAGAAAAAAAAAACTCCAAACACTAGAGATAAATAGTTATTTTTATCCTAAAAAAAACCGACGATCATTAATATTAAATATACAATAAAGTAAGTTATTAAAATGCTGCAAGTGGATTCAGAGGACAGTGTACTAAATTTTATGCACTTATTATTTTATTTTTTGAGTAACTTTTTTTTTTCTTTTCTTCTAATGATTAATAATTAATTTCATGTGGTGAGTGATGGCTGCGTAAGTTAGTTGGTTTGCACGAGATCTTGAAATTTTGAAATTATTATTTTTTTAATCAAAATTATACTTTTGATTGATTTTTTGTATTTAAAAACTCAATATTCTGTTATCTTTTTGAAATTTTGATTCATGCGTAGCACTAGAAACTTGCCAAGATTTTTCTTCATTAATTTTGAAGTTGGTGTGATATTAATTTAATTAATTTCATATTTCTTAAAATTCTTACCTGGAAAAGAAATATTTATTTTTTATAAAGTAAATATCAAACAACTATTATTCTAAATTTAAAAAAAAAAAAGAAAAGAAAAGAGAAATGGTTCAAACAATTATTAAAAATTGCATTCAGTTTGAACTAGAGTTCTAAATATATAATAACACTATTTACTTTTTTGTTTGTTTGTTTTTAATAGTGTTACTGCTTTGTTGTTCATTTCAACTATTAACTTTTCTAGTTTTCTGCCATGATTATTATAAATATTTAATCCTTGATTTTATTAAATATTAAGACGAATTGATAAAGTAAACACGAAAAGGTAAAGAGAGAAAAAAAAAAGTTAAAAGAAAAAGCATACATAAAACTTAAAAGTTTGTGATATGTGAGATTCCAATAAAAAGAAATAGAATATAACTTTTGTTTTTATACTCTCTGAACTTTTTCTACTTTTTCTAATTTAATTATTCATTGAAGAAATATCTCCCATTTGTTGGTTATGTTTAAATTTAAATAAAACCAATATTCAATATTGAGAAAATTAAAATTCAACCTTCGACTAGAGAGATTCCTAATATTATGTTTATTAAAAATTTTAACAGATTAAAACGATAAAAAATAAAATGCAGGAGTGGAACGAGAATGAAAATAATTAATATCGATAGTGACATTTAATAAAGTTCGCTTTAAAATAAAGAATTACTTAATTTTGAGATGGATTGAAAGGCATTTTCATTTTCTTAAATTATATACCACAAGCAATATTAATGAAATTAGAAGAAAATCAAAGTTATTTCTTTCCTCATGATTTTATGCATAAATAAAATCTTAACAATCAATATATATTAAAAAGAAAAAAAGATGATCATGATTTCTTGAATCCCAAACAATGGCAAAGCAACGGATCACTTACAAATTATTCGTTTTTTTTCCTATTTCTAATAAAAAGATTTGTTAAGATCATATTCCTTTTTTTTTTTAACTTTCGAATTTATTAATTTGAAGAAGTGTTTTCGAAAGTAGATAATAAATATAAAAGAAGTTACTTTAAAAGTGAGAACTAATTGACAAAGTGAAATAGCAGTAATTGACATATATTTCTAACAAGGAGGTTATAAGTTGGATCCCTTATGTTGTACTAAAAAAATCAGGATGTAATTTATTTTTATTTTCAAAAGACTATAACCCACACAACGCCCTAGAATTTTGACACAAATTATATGTAGGTCGAGCAAGAAAATTAACCAATTGAAAAGTTGATAAGAAAATTAAAATACATAAATCTTGAGAATTTTTTAAAATAAAACTCTTTCAGTTGCCCTTGGAATTTAAATGAATTTACATAATCATAGGCATGCAAATGGTTTTTTTTTTTAATTTGTGAGTGTCCGAGCCCGCTTTTGTGTACCACTGCTTGATCCTGCTTCATTTAGTCGTCGTCAAGAAAATACATAGGAAATTAATTAATTACTAAGTAGGAAGTCATCATGGATTTGAACTCATTTATTCTAGATCCTTTTGATTTATCTTGACTCTTTTGGACCAATGAACCAACCCATGATGGTTGCAAATGGTAATTTTTTTAAATAGATCACTTTTAAAAGTTGTAATTGGGCGGCAACAAAGAACGACTTCTAATATCCTTAAAACAAAGTCACCCACAATAACAAACTGAGAGAAAACAAAGAAAAACAACTATTAGAAAACAGTTAACTAAACTCGTTCTCACTATTATGAAAACCGAACAACTCTATCAACAAAAAAAAAAAATTATTAGAAAACAGTTAACCAAACTCGTTCTCACTGTTACGAAAACCGAACAACTCTATCTATATCCTACCAACATTAGTGATTGGGAAAAGAAAAAGAAAGACACATGGTGTAGTTTAAAGAGTTAGTCAAATCCAAAGCAATGGAATCCTAGAGATAATGGAAAACATGAGGGGCCTCTCTAGCAAAGAGGAGCCATGGCAACCATATCTCTTGAGAACTCCACAAATAAATGTGGTTTTTGAAGAGCCTAAAAGCTAATCCCAACACTATCCAAAACCCTCTTTAATTTGCTACACCAAAGGCTTCAAGTCATTTTTTTTGTTGCCATCATTGGCTTGTATGGTTTTAGTGGGTGACATCTTTAGTGCCTTTGTTTACCATTTCAATCCAAAAAGGAGTATGTTTTCATGATGATGATGCAGAGTTCTACTTCTAGTTGTGCTAGATTCAATTTTCTCCCACATGAGTTGAAATATGAGTTGTGTTCTTTGTCATAGGTCAAAACCATCTCGAGTACTCTTTATCGTTATTTTAACGAATTCATTGAATGTTTCAATAAAAATAAAGTATTTGTAATCATTACAAAAATTTGTCCCAAAACACCCTTAACGACCTGCATTATGTTCGAATACCTCATATATTTTGCTCTTTCCAATAAATACATCAATCATAAGTTTCTATATGTACCATCAAATGAAGTTGTCGTACGATCTTGCATTACAGCACATGACATGCTCTCGTCATAGCGCGACCCTTGTATTGTCTAGGATTTGTCGAGTGTCGTGATATGCACATGAACTTGTTGCACTATGACATTGATACTTAATCATAGACGACTATCCAAATCACGCCACTTAAATGTGTTAATATAGTACATAGGATGATTTCGTGCTTTCCAAAATGTCATAGC